TAAAATGTACGCATTTTCTCGAACCACGTCCGAGAAAATGATAAGCGAGATGGAGAATAAGCGACATAATAATGGAAAGAATGGTTGCAGTGAAAGTTTTATTTACTCGAAGCTACATTTCGCTGCCGCAAACGTGGTTTGTTGGTCAGAGTCTGTAGTTGTATATTTTGCGTAACGCGATTTAAGTTTTCTTCGCTGAAACGAACAGCGTTGGACAAACAGTCTGTTGAAAATTGACATCGCGTTGATAGAGGACTATTGGAGGAAGAAACGTGGAAGAAAATTTGCAGCCGATCCGTCTATTGTTCTATCGAGATTGAATATTTAATACCGAGCATCGGTCCGCACAGCTTTTTGAAACTCGAGATGTCGTTGGAGGGATTTGGTACTCGCTTTCGCGAGTTGGCGTCAGAAAGAAGAAACGAAAGAATTGAAAGAACGTAGTTGAGTGGAAAGGCGAAATATCAAGGCTGGTGTATTCAGCGAGGCGTTACTGTTGGACTGCGCGCGGCCTCCGTCTCTCTCTCCATCTGTAGCTGCAGCTAGCAGCAAGCAGCTAGCAGCTAGCAGCGAGCAGCGAGCAGCAATTGAGCAAGCCTGGCTTGCCTTGCACCAGTGACGTCATCCGCCGGATCCAAGATGGCGAGGATCCCTCCTCGTGTGTTCGCCAGGGCAAAATCGGCTAGCGGCCGGTGAGAGCAGGACCGGTTTTCGATGAGGCGGGGGGGCGAGGGGGAGGTGCACCCAGGCCGCCGGCTCGTTTATCCGCGCGCGGTTTCGTCGTTTTGCGGCCGAAACGTAGAAGCTCCGCGAAACCTCCGCCGGACATAATATCCGAGACACGCGCGCGTATTATTCCTCGGCTCGTTTACCCGAGAGTCGGCCAGTGCCGGACCAACTCGGATCGTTTCTTCGTCCCGTTTTTATTCTATCTCTCTCTCTCTCTCTCTCTCTCTCTGCGTAAAGCGTAAGCGCAAGCGTAAAGGTAGACTGAGCAAAGCTTTTTCTCAAAAACGTTGGAACAAGTGCGATGAATTTTGTTGTACGTAGGCGAGAAAAGGGAACGCTCTTTTTTCCTTGTTTCTTTCTTTCTTTCTTTCTCTCACTCGAGAGAAAGTGAAAACGAAACTGCCGCGAGCAGCGTGAAAGGCATTCGGTATGCACATACACGGTATAGAGTATATGGTGGAAATTACAGGGGAAGAGGAAGGGAGCGGAGACGACGCTGGGTGTCGTTTGAAACGACACACGGACACCTTCTTCTTCTTCCTTTTCTTCGCACCCGTGATATTTTCGAGGATACGTGGGTGTCGCGATGCTGTCATCGCGATACGGGGGAGCGGTGGGGACGAGCCTGCCTTTCTTCCACGGCAAATCGAATCATCGTGTGCACGCAGCCGTGTCGAGGTCGAATACACCTATTATATACACACTCCTACCTATAGTTCACCGTTCTTCGAACTATATACGCGTGAATCTATGTTTCTCTAGCATCATCTAGGCATCACTCTGCGCTCTGTGTTCCGTGCTCCGTTTCTACTCGTAGATGCAAACGCACAAAAAGTAAACGGAAAAGTAAACGGAGGAAGAAGGCTGGAAGTAGTCGAACGATGATGAGCGAGATCGACGAGAAGAGAAGAGAAGAGACAACTTGAATCGCGAACCTAGAAAGCGGGAAGCGTAACAGGTAGTAGTTAGTGGTACCTTGTCTGTTTGGTGGCTGGCGGCTGGCAGCGTGCGAGGATGCGGTTGTGTAGCACTGCTCGCGAGGCTCCGGGAGCGGAGCGGTACGCCCCTGAAGATCGGAGAGTTTGCACGCGCAGGTAAATATCGTCCAACGCGATCGCGCGGCCACGACTGAACTCGCTCTCCAGAGGCGGCGTTTTACCTGCGACAGGAGAGACCTCTCAACAGAGCCCGCAGTTCCAGCACCGAGCCGCTCTCCTCTCTCTCTCTCTCTCTCTCTCTCTC